AGAATGAAATGGATATTGAGCTGTTGATGTAGAATGATCTAAAAAACATCGGTAAGGGACTGCAAATTATGTTATTTACAGGAAATATTCTCCAGCTGTGTAAAAGGGAAAAAGAATTTAAATTCCCATTTGTACTTGATGACACATTGAAAAATTATGGAAAGATAAATGAAAAACCGTTAGTGTGGTAGCACCCTTTAGAGGGTGAGTGTCTGGGAATGAGCCATCTTTCTTTTCATTGTTGATCTCTGTCTTTTGAACTCATACCATGGAAATATTTTCCCATTTTAATTTTCTTAAAAGTACCCTGATGTTTTAGTGATTCTAGATTTTCTGTAGAGTCTCATGTTGCCATTAGTATTTAGTTCACCTTGTAAGTGAAAGTTTCTGAAGCAAATATGTACATACCCCTACCTGTACTCTTTTTACACTTTTGTTGTTGGTATGACAGTTTCCTATTTTATGTTTGACTCACAACATAAAGAAGGTTAAGACCAGAGCCCATCCCTTGTTAAATTTGTATGTGGGATGTAGAAAAGTAACACAGGTGAAGAATTCTGGAAGGGTGAAAACCACATTCCCATTGTTTCCAGTGTTACCGCAGTATGGTATTCTTTTAAAAGAGGCGTCACTTTAATATGTATGTCAGAAACATGTGGTGACTATTTATATGTGTATAATAGTTTACACACTTGTGTGTACTTTTTAAAACTTAGAAATAACCGAAGATGACAGTGATGTTTTAAAATTTAAAGCTGTGCTTGTCTGTTGCTGGTTTATGAACTGCAGTGGTAACCACGTTCTGTAGTTTTTGGTTCTGACATTGCCCTCTTCTTGTTTATTGAATTACTTATATTTAATTACACTTCTTGAGATTAAAATAAGTACATGCTGAAAATAAATAAAGCAAGCAAGTAAGTCAGCTTGTGAAAAAGCTCAAGTTTGTTATGGGACAAAACTTTTCTAGATCTATTAAAGCAGCCAGACATTAACCTCAGAGTCCCTCTGTACATTATATATGGGAGGTGACTGTCACACACCGGAACTCTGCCTTTTCTCTGTGCTCTCAGTTAATCAGTCCTCATGCTAGAATATAAACTGAGGCAGAACAAATGTTTTTTTTTTTTTTTTCAGTGATTCCTACTAAATTTCATTTGGTTTTATTTCCAACTGTATTTAATAATTGAAAATTTCTTGTGGTTAGGAGTAGAATTTGAGATTTTGAACTTTTAAAGCTTTAAAACTGAAACGTGAAATTAGAGTGTATTTTTCTAATGGCTTTCTGTTAGTTCGGTGTTGCTTGTTTTAGAGGGGATGACTTTAAATTGAAGTGTGTATCCACTACAGTTGGAATGTCTTTCTCAACCCCTTTAAAAAGCCCTTCATTTAGCTATAGAGAGAAAATACAGAGCAGTGGAAAAGGCTAATAAGCATAGAGCATGTGAGCCTGCACTGTTTCCTAACTGGAGTTTGCTTAAAACGTGCCTGGGCACTGCCTGTGAACTGTTTGCGCACGTGTGCGTACAGAGGGGCAGGGTCTGCTCATTTCTGTGCCCATTGTGAGGCTGTCCTGCACCTTTATGCTGTTTCTGTAACAGGGTGAAGGGCCCTGAATGGAGGCCTTGTGTCCCACTTGATTTGAAATCCTGGCTGTTAATCTCAGGGAACCATAGGGCACCCAGCGGGAAGTCTCTGTGACAAGTGAAAACCTAGGATCTGCTGGAAACCATGGTTTGTGGGGGAGGGCAGTGAGGGTGGTAATAATCCCTCAGCCCTTGCTTTTGTCCCCCACAAGCCTAATTGTTACCCTCTGCTGGCAACCAGATGGAAGAGCTGCCTGTTCAAGTGTCCTTGGCTTGCATGTGATTACTCCCACCTCCTGGTATTGTGGTTACCAAATAAAACCCCGTGTAACTGTGATTGAATTCTCATAGGAAAATACAGTCCTGGCTGGGTGTTTTACATGTCTATTAGTTAAATATCTGATTCTCTCTCTCTCTCTCTTTTTTCTTTGATGGACRTTTCTTTAAAAGTAATAAGGATTGCATGTGAAAATGCTGAATTGTTGGCATGCTTTTTATTTCAGAGTCTGCTTAAAGGCAGTTCACACCAACACTGAGCTTGCATTGGCTAGTTAAATCTAGTTTGTGCAGCTTTTATACTTTGTAGTACCAGCCTCTGTGCAGAGTTTCTTGGCATCAGAAAAGTCATGCAATTTAAGTCTATGCACTGTGAGAGAAGGGTGGGGCAGCAGAAGCTTTTTTAATAGGGTTTCTCTTATAAACCTTAATTTTCCAAGTAATATTTAGGAATTTAGTAGGAGAAGGAGAARTTGTATATGGTGTTTTTTTAGTGCCAACACTGATTGAACTGACAGGGAAGGAGAGAAAATTTTATTTTATTTCTCTTTCTTTTTTGGGGTGAGGGGAATTCCAGTTAGAAACTGGTTTTTCAACCTTGTGCCAGCTGAGACTTGCTGTAATAAATCCTTAGCTTTGTGGCCTTCTGTTTCACTTCAGGTGCAGATGATAAGTAGAATGTTTAGTATCTGAGCCAACGTCAAGAAGTAGCTAGGGAGCTGGTGTACAGGAAGTGYGGTGTGGCATCACATTATATACTGCTCCTCCAGCACAGTGCTGAGAGTATGCATCCTGCAAAAATATTCTACAGGATGCCAGAAAGCCCATGTAAACAATACGTTTCTGGTCCCTCTGCAGGTTTTTTGGGGTTTGCTTTGTTCCCCATTGTTGATTTATTTTTTATTGTGGTTTTGTGAAAACCATGCCACATGAGCATGTGGACTTCTGTGCATGAGTGGTTATTGGTTTTGTAGAAACCCCAGGATACCCTGAGCTTAATAATAATTGATGCTGCTGGGTATGGTGGCATATGCCTGTAATCCCAGCAGCTGGGGAGGCTGAGGCAGGAGGATTGTGAGTTCAAAGCCAGTCTTGGCAACTTTGTGAGTCCCTAAGTAACTCAGCAAGACCCTGTCTCTAAATAAAATATAAAAAATTCCTGGGGATGTGACTCAGTAGTTAAGTGCCTCTGGGTTCAATCCCCAGTATCACCCCCACCCCCATGATGGTCTTTTGTGGGTAATTGAAGGAGCACATTAAGTGTCAGTTGATAATAAAATTTTCATAATTAATTAATTATTATTATTATTTTTACCTTTTTCTTTGGAATCGCTATGAGGGCTCCTCTGACCTTAAGGGTCCGCAGAAAGAGAGAGAGAGCGAGAGCATGTGCTGACCCCTTTTATTGAGAAAAGCTATTTTTTTTTTAATATTTATTTTTTAGTTCTCGGCAGACACAACATCATCTTTGTTGGTATGTGGTGCTGAGGATCGAACCCGGGCCGCACGCATGCCAGGCGAGCGCACTGCCGCTTGAGCCACATCCCCAGCCCGAGAAAAGCTATTTAAACGAGGCAAGGGGTCAGGTTTCAGGGGGCTGAGTATCTTCATGATGTCCACTGTCAGCAGGTTGACTGACACCTGGGAGCCCGTTGACTGACACCTGGGTAGGCAGACCCAAGGGCACAGTAAGAGAAGGGGACACACACAAGGCACTTCCATGGAAGATTCTATCCTAAACAGGGCAAGGGRTTATATTACAAAGGAACAGGTGAGCATAGCTTCACCCATGGGGCTGTAGCAAGACATACCCATGCACAAGACACCGACCCTCGCACCCAAGAAGGGTGCCACATTTCTGCGACTGAGCGCCTCAGCACCCAGCCTGGGAGTGTAACTCAGTCATGTGTAAGGTTGGCCTCCCACATATTCCCCCTTTCTTAATATACAAAAAGAATGTAACTGGGAAATTTTATCTTTCAGTCACTTGACTCTTGGTCCAAGGTCATCACAATCTGCTATTGAAACACAAAAAGAATTAGTAGAAAACATATCTTCACTACACAATTAGTAGAAAACATATCATCCTTATAACACAATCAACACAATAAACTTGGATTATTATTACTTTGCCAAACACTTATCAGAAGATTTTTAATCTTTTCCTAATTTTATTGTAACGTATTGTTTTTGGCCATAGTAACAGACATTTTATTGCCATGGCATTTAGGCCTCTCCGTAAACCACAGAGCAAGGGGCCCACTCACATTATTTATTTGTCTCTCCATAAACCACAGAGCAGAGGGCTCACTCACATTATTTATTACATTGTCTTCTAGAACATCATTACTTAGTTCTCATCCTTCCATTAGCACTTATCTGAACATGAAGGATCTTGGAAGTAATTTAAGTCAAACATTAAGTAAATCAGAGTTATTAAAAAAAATGATAAATACCCTATAGCCTGTAAAAATACAACTTATTGTATCATTAGTTATTGTCAGCTAATATTTCAGAGCTATAATATGCTGAATTTAATATTAAGGCTTTAAAACAGGTGTATGTCAATTAACCAGACCTAGGCAAACTGCTGGTCTCATAATCCCTAAAGTGACTACTTTAAATATTATTCCTTGTTTATTCAATTGCAGCCTTTGTGGCTATGTCTTAAAACTTACAATGTATAGATTTACTTAATGTTTGACATAATTAATTAATTTTTTGAGGTAATATTAAAGGCAGTTTGACCAAAATCAGAATTAAATAATACAACTCAACTCCCGAATTAAGCAACAGTGTGGTCTTGTTCTGCAAGAGTTTGGCTGCAGTTGACTCTTCCTCCTCCCCTTTTACTGACGGGTCACCCTCCTGTAAAATTCAAATGCAATGCTCAGTTTATAAGGCTTAATGAAAAAACCAGCTAATTTTATATATGTATTTTGTTCTGCTATTGATTCACTGTTTCTTTATTTTTTGCTTTCAACAAAATGCTAAAGAAATCACAGGTATAATGTATTTACATATTAGCGAAAATGTAATATTACTTGATACTGGGAAAAATTTTTGCTTCATTTTGATTACTGAAGAAATTTAAAATTCACTGAAATATTTATGAAATATTTTGTATTTGTATTTGTTTAGGACATGTCTCAGGAAGGCTACGGAACTAGATCTCAACCTCCTCTGGCCCCAGGAAAGCCGAATCATGAAGACTTGAATTTAATACAGCAAGAAAGACCATCAAGTTTACCAGTAAGACCTTAATTTACTGATTTGGAAATGTAATGAGTTAAAGATTTTTTAAAAGAACTGTTATTTTTGTACTTCATATTATCACATGGAACAGAAATTTCCAGGTTTCAGATATATTTTATGATTTATTAATTTTTTTGTAGGGCTTAATTCTTAGGAGCACTATAGTTCTGGATGAGTTTATTCCACTTGTAGGAATGGACATCTTTTGGGTAGGTTTTATTTGGCTGTTTGGTGTGTGTGCAGGCAGGTATTTCTGTGGTTCAATTGAGTTTTTTGTTTGTTTGTTTAGCTTGTTGTTTTTTGGTAGAGATACAGAGTAGGGGGTCTGTGTATGATGGAAACTTAAATTCCCACTGTGCAAAGTATATAAATGGTAGATAAACATCTGATACTAATTTGAATTATTCTGGGACTTTACATTTGTATGTAAATGCCACATCACCCAAAAGAAAGTAATTTAGTTAAAAATTTGGCAAATCAGCTTGTAAAGCATTTTCATCTGCAACTGGTAAATGGTGATTGAGTTGTATATTAGTAAGAGTAGCGGATACAACGTATCATAGTGATGCCTGAAAAGAATTCATTTTTACTTTATTTGCTTTTTAATAGAGAACCTAATTTATAATGAGGTTTTCTTTATTAACTAAAATAAGTCTGTACAAATAAATATTTTGCATTTATTTTCTTGTTAAAGAATTGTGACCTGAAGAATCATTGTTACTACTTAATTTCTGCTAAGGTTTGTTTGAGATGGGAGTTCATGATAGTTATTATTTTAATTTTGAATTTCAACTGTCTTGGCACTAAATAAAACTCGTCATATTCTTTCCAAATATCTGAGAACAAGCATTTGTAATGCATATGTGTTAGTGTGACATGTAGCGTGCATAAGGCACCCATTTTATGTTATACACATAGCCTTAGAAGAAGGTAAGTGAGGGCTGCATGAGGTGCATGTCTGGGCATCCGCTGCACATGGTTTTGAAATCATAATCTTTATATAGATTTTTATTTCTTTGGTGGGAGGGGGTAAAATTTATTATGGTCTTGTTTTGAAATTTGGAGTATTGTCTAGTTACTTGGTTTTTTGAAGGAATGAAAAAGGTAATGGAATCTGTTTTATACTAGAGGCTTTGCAAAGCAGATAATTATAGGTTGGTAAGAATGTAGAAAAGTGTGTGAAACACATGAACACTGTTCGTAAATTCAGCATTTGCTGAGTATTTGGAAATTGGCTTGTGGTTTTATGAAATTTAAATTGATTCATGGGAAGCAGGTGGACAGTGAATTTCACTTTTTTCCTCACTTGTTGCTTACTGTTATTGGCACCTAAGTTTGTAGGGTTGTCATTGCTGCTGATTGGTACTGTGACACAGGTTGGAAAAAAAATTTTTTTTTAATATTTTTTAGTTGTTGATGACCTTTATTTTATTTATTTGTATGTGGTGCTGAGAATCGAACCCAGTGTGTCATGCATGCTAGGCAAGCGCGCGTCCACTGAGCCAATCCCAGCCCCCAGGTTGGAAAATTTATCATAAGTTGGTAGCAATTTTCTACATATTCTTAAGCATGGTGTACAGCATGTACTACTGTTTATTTCCATTCAAGAACTTTAGTGTCTCTCCCTGGTGTACATACAGTTCTTGTCCTAGCTCAGTTTGCAATGAATGGGTGACATCCACTAACTCTACAAGGTAGCTGGGGTTGGAACCAGGTCCTCTGCTCCAGTGAAATGTACTTAAGARGCTGGCTCAGGGACAGATGCTTTATAAATTAATTACTTGAAAAGAAGATGAAAGTATTTGGAGAAGTAAAATAATATATTCATCAAAAATTGAATTTTTTCTGAATTTCTATTCATTGTCTGCATGTATATGATGACTGTCTTCACAGTGATCACCTGCCTCTCAGGGGTACGTGTAGGTGCAGATTTTGTTATGAAGTCCTTACAATAAGAAATACCAGTTAGGGTGTTATTCTTTCTTTCTCATTTTCTTTTATTTTCTAACTCAGTTAACCAGGAGGCTGATAGACTCAAAAGCACTTTAAATTACATTTCAGTGATTTTTTTTTTTTTTTTAAGAGACCAAGGTTCCCAGGATTTATGGTACTAGCCAGTTACTGCATAGAGAATAAGCTGTAGATTATTAGCCAGTGAATCTAAAGCCCAGGTCTGCTGGGATTAACATTGGCTTTATTTAGATGAGCTTTAGTGTATCATTTTTCTTCACTAGGGTTTTACGTGTGCAAGAAATTTCTATATGGGGTTTACATATCTATTTTTGTTTACATGTATGCTTTTTGTTCATGAACTGTACATAATTTAAGATAATTATGGCTTCCGGGAGCCATTCATTGGTGTTCACTTATGGCTCTAATATGTATTTTCATAGTGTTACTTTTATTAAATACTTCATTCTCTTGCTTGGCCCCATTGATTCCACAGGGACTGGAAGCTGTTGTAATCTTGGCTGGATTGGCCATTGGATCCTCAGTAGAGCTACTCTTAAAGCCGTACTTTCTTTTCAAGTGCCAGTCACATACATTTTGTCATTTTACTTAAACACAACACATGCTATTTGTACCTCTGGTCTTGTAACTTGGATTTAAGTAAGTTAGAAGCCTTAACCTTTTAAAAAATATAGAATAGTGATTCTAATATGTAATTTTGTGTCCATTATATATGAGACTTTTAACAAATATGTATCCCAAATTGTTATTTCATAATTTTTTTTGCTTATATTGAAATAGTTTTTGTAACATTTCTCTATGCAGTCATATTTTTTTCCTCCAGCATGTTTGTTACATGGTTGTCAACTTTTCATAAGAAATCAGGATGTTTCCAATATCCTTACAATAGATCTATAATTTGATCTCTCAGTTCTTCTTCTTACCATGCTTGAAGTTGTGTGCTTTGTATATCCTTAAGTTCCTGTGATCTTCAGTAGCTAATGCAGTTGTGTTTTCCAGCTGACTTAGCTGGATTCTCATATTGTCCACAGAAAGCAAAGAACTGATAAATTAATATGCATTCTCTTGTCTTGGGCCATGACCAGTACTGTTTGCTTTTTGCTTAACAGACTCAGACCTAATCTCAGAACAAATATCGCTTGAATTGCCCACTCACTTCAGTACCTTCTCAACATACAGCCTTTCCCTGCTGAGCAAGATAGGTCAGTCTGTATTCCTTAGTATTTCCATTATTAATGAATCTTAGCATTTAGGACATAATATGAAAATTAGCTTGAAGAGCTGCCTTACATTAGGGAATTATCACTTAAATTTGAGCACAATTTGTGGTTTTTCTTTACCTCTACTATTATAGGAAATGAAGCCAAAATTTAAGCAAAATACACAGTGGAAGTTCTAAAAGATGCTGTAACTTTTTTACTCCTTTATTTTTTAAAATATTTTTTTTTAGTTGAGAGACTTTTATTTTATTGTTTTTTAAAATTTAATTATATGTGGGGCTGAGAATTGAACCCAGTGCCTCACACATGCCAGACAAGTGTGCTACCGCTAAGCCCCAGCCCCAGCCCCTTACTCCTTTATTTTATAAACATTGAGTATATCTCCCAAGTATGATTTAGTACACTTTGTTTTGTTAAATCTTCATCTCTTGTGACATTTATTAATCATCTTTTTACTACTTACTTTTATAACTATCTTGGCTCCTTGGTTTAAACTGGGATCCTTTCTTGGTATTAGTTGTGTTATATTCAGTAAATATTTTCTTAATGTATATAAAATTATTTTGGAATAAATTCTTCCCCTTGTTTCAGAATTATCTTTTAATAGCTTAGGAATCTTTTTCATGGTGTTAAATTGACACGAGGAAAGCCCCTGCTCTGCGTGCTAATGACACCAGAATATGGGTGTGATAGCAGCACTGGCAAGAGGGTACCATTTTTTTTCTTAATATTTATTTTTTTRGTTATAGAACACAATACTCTTATTTTATTTATTTTTATGTGGTGCTGAGGATCGAACCCAGGGCCCTCGCATTAAAAAAAAAAAAAAAAAGCAAAAGCCATTCTTTTCTTAGTGATATGTTTTTTATTTGTAAAAAATTGATAGAAACAATCATAATTTCAACAATTATAGTACAGGTAGATAAGTTCTTAATAGAATACTTATAAACATGTTTAAAAGGAAGTAAAACATGAAGGTTTTATTTTCTTTCATATTCAGCAAAACAGTGCTTCAGGGATGAAAGAGTTGTTAATATTCCCCAGTTTAGAAATAACTAATATGTTTTATCTTGCAGAGAGCTGGCACTGGTTTGCATCTCATGGGTGGTGGTAACTCTGTTCACCCAGGTCATGTTGGTATGGCTGTGTGCTCTGCTACGACTTGTGTGCTGACTATACAGCCTGGCTGTACTGGAAGGCCCATCAGGTCTTTCAAAGCCTCTTCCCTGTCCTTTCGTCCCTATATGGGAATATCTAAGGAGGTTGACATGAAAAGAGGGGTCTTCCCGAGTTAAGTGAAAACCTAAGTGGGAAAAAGTGCTCATGACACTTTTGTGTAGTTTGTCATTGGAAGGAAATACTGGGCTTCAGATAGAACAAATGTTTTTTGCCCTTTGTGAATGGAACGGGGTGGTAAATACTGGTAATTCTTTGAAACGGAGATGTTAAACAGAATATTGGAAGCCTGAAAGAGAATGATTAGAAAACTGTTATTACCAAGAATTATCTTCAGGGAGTTAGCCATTAGCAGTAAAGAACACAGTTTTTGCCTTTAATCAAAGAGGAGTACTCCTATTGGGGTTTTATTTGTTTCTTTGTTTTAGTCTGTAATGTTACTGGTGAAAGGGAAGATATGAATATTGATGGTATGTTAATAGGAATATTTGTAGATTTGTTAATAGATTTGCTTTGATTGGAAACTATTGAGAAATGCTGGGCAAAGCAACTTTTTAACTGGGTTTTGCTTTTTATCAAATTCTAGATGGTAATCCATAGAAATATAAGTTGAGACTATGTTCAACCTGT